AGCCACAAGAAACCCATGCTGCATACTTATTAATATATTGCCTTTGAATTTTCCTCAGACTAAGAAAGAGGAAAACAAACAGCGGGAAGTGCAGAAGGAACCTAAAGAGAATGTCACACCAAGAACAGAGATGATGAAGGTATGTCTCCTCATTAACTGACACAGTCCTCTACAACAGACCTTTTTAATTTATAATAGGATTTTTAGTCTGAAGCAGACAAACCAGTCTAGAAGGCACGGCCATGTTTACCTTTATTCTGTTTCTCCCCTGCCCAGGCCAAGCAACACTCCTCCGACTCTGGCAGTGGCACCGAAGAAAAGCAATTATCTTCCATGTCAGAGCACTGTAGACTTTACTTTGGCGCTCTCCAAAAGGCCATTGGTGGATTTGTGGGAAGCCTTCAGGATGGCCAGCCACCAGAGAAATTCATCTCACAAAGTAAGCTGGTGATTATGGTGGGCCAGAGACTGGTAGACACTTTGTACAGGGAAGCCCATCGTAAAGGGTCGAACCAAAGTCTCCTGTGTAAGAGCAACCACCTGTGCGCTCTCCTGAAGCAGCTAGCTGTGGCCACCAAGAAGGCGGCACTGCACTTTCCTGATAAGCAAGCTCTTCACGAAGCTCAAGAGTTCGCAACGCAGCTGGCCCAGAGAGCGCAGCACTTTCGGCTATCGCTTGATCTCTGAGGGTGAGCGCACGGTATCAAGTGTACAGATCTATGTGAAGAGGAAGGTTTTATTCATCAGTCATGTAGCTATTTCTTTTTTTAATCATGTTTATAGTGTACAACATCTGAGCCTAACTGTTGCTTTTGCTGATGAATGCAGGTTGCTCTTTAAATATTAACAACTGTAGAAAAAAGCCGCCGGCACAGTTTATTTCAAAAAGGTATTGCATTTGTACTAAAAGGCATTATCAATATAAATTGCACATTCGAGATGCTGTAATTAAGCCAATGTTAAAATGCATTTTAAGTACAGAGTATAAAGTATTTTTTTCTAGACTTACGGGAAATGTATATTCTTTGAGTTTTGTTGGTTATCTGTGTTTTTCTTCATTGTTTTTTTTACTATATTGTGTATGGAATATATTCTTCAGAGTAGCGTGTCGTTACAGTCTACTTTTTGTTAATATCTATGTAAATATTTCAAAAAAACATTTGTTATGCATTCCCAAAATTTACTTGACAAAAGACTGAGTACAACATATGTTGAAGTTCTGTTGATATTGGAATAAAAACACAGACACACACAACTGAAAACTTTATTTTTCTGCTTTGTTAATATGTTATAGAAAATAGATTTTTAAAAAAGGGCCTGGAAATGAGAACATTGCAGCCCTACAAACTGTTCTGCAGGCTATCGTAGTTCTTGGTATTGAAATGATGCTTT